AAGAGACAAGCAAAACATTGTTTTAAAAATTCCTGGGGCGGAAGATAATAAATCGGAGATACATCCTGAGTTTATTCTATGACAAGATGAAACAGCACATCTGTTTCAGGAATCAACTGGGCAGTTTTCATTAAAAAGGATAAATTTGTACAGTCCCATAAGATGCAGGAGGCCACTTTTCAGAAAAGCCAAATCCTTGCCTTTGTGGAATCTGAAGCAGAACAACTAAATTCTGTAATAGCCTTATATCATATAGTATCAACCTTGTTAACTATCTAATCTTTTTTTCTGTTTTATTTTCAAAATGGACTGTGATGTGTGTGTGTGTGTGTGTGTGTGTGTATGGTTATATATTTATTGTCTTGAGAGCAGGCATCATAATTTCATTTTTTGTGTGCCAGTGTGTTTACAGAAAAAAGTGATAACAAAGGTTATTTTGACTCATCCTATCCTATCCTACCTTACTTTATCCTATCCTATCCTACCTCACCTCACCTTATTTCTTCTAAATCCTTTTACTTCCTAATTTCTGTTCATTTCCTCAGACCAGTCTGACCTGAGGTTTCCATCTTTGGACTTCTCCCATCTCATATCACTCCCCTTCCTCATACAAAATAAGGCAATGATAATGCTTTTATATTATTGCTAATGGCAACACTATTTCTGTGTTAAAGGTTGGGTTTTTTTAAAAAATGCATTTCCCTACATTATTTTTCACAATTTAAAGTTCCATGAAATTATAGACTAAACTTTCTCCTGCTGTTTCTGCAATCAAAATCTTCAAGTTTTGACTCTTCAGTCTAGACCAGCTGACCCGTTTTATTTTTCTTGGCAGCTTTGAGAAAATCTTTAAATCTCTACTCCCAGCTTTACCGTGGGTCATATTTTCTGCAGGTCTATAGAAGAGATTTCAGAAAAGGTTCAAGCATCTATTAAGTGCTTCAGTAAAGACACACGTAGGAAATTACTGCTATTATCACAGATTTCCATTTGTTCCAAATTGTTCTCGACACAAAGGTTGATATTAGCAGCTGTTAGTTTTTCCACCGCTAATGGCTTCTGTTGTGATTCCAATTATTCTTTACTCAGGTAAATTTCTTGAGTTGAATTCCGTGCAGTCTCAGCTCTAGGAGAAAATTGTCACAACTTTCAAAATGGATGGTTTCACACACCGTAAGAGAAATCCAGGATTTCTCACAAGCCTCTACTTTCTCGTCTGACCTTTTCAGCAGAACCACATCAGCCTGATACCAATTGCTGAGTCTCCCATTGTCTGACCTGCTGTAAAGAAACAGAGAGTGTCAATGTCACCACGATTGAGAAGATGGATTCTGGTTAATAAAAATCTCACCAGCAAATTCGGCAAAGTTATATAATTCAAAAGATAGGATAGGATAGGATAGGATAGGAAATTGGAATAGGAATAGGAATAGGAATAGAATATAGAATAGGAATAGAATAGAATATGGAATAGGAATAGAATAGAATAGAATAGAATAGAATAGAATAGAATAGAATAGA